TGAAGGATCAAGATAACCTTTTATCTCACTGATAAAGCATGCAGAACTATTACAGGAAAGACTATAAAGTTCCATTAAGTGTTCTGGGAGGTTTGTGAATGTGGAAAGGATCTTAGGCTATTGATCTTTTTGATATAACAGACATGCTTGCTGCTAGCAAACTTAAATTTAATAGCATATATTTTGCAGATATCATGAAAAGAAAGGAAAAGATGTAAGGAAAATATAAATAGCAGCATTAATTATGCCATTAACTTTTTAATTCTAATTTAATTATTTTATCTATTTTAGGAAAATAATTTTCATAGCTAGGAAAATATTTGGGTTATGGAATATCACAAAGTTGTATTAATTTCATCATTTTTTGAGACTATAAAATAGCCAACTAAATCTACGAGCTGAATGGCAGAAATATGTTTTGGTTTTTGGTATTACGGAAGCAGGCAGTTGGGCTGAGTACATAGCAGATCTAATACATAAAAAGCAGTATCAGCTTCTATGAAGTGACAATAGTATCTGAAAAAGTGAAAAAAGACACCAAAGCCTCACAAAATATGGATTTGAAGGGATGGAGCCAAGATCAAATTAATCCAAATATGGCTAACCTCCTTCCCAAATATCTTACTATAAGACAGCACAAGTTAGACCATAAAGCAAAAACATAACTACAAACAGTACTAGATTTTAAAGTAATACAGCTTTCATAAAAGTGAGCATTAGGACTTACCAAAGCAGAGAGTCAGAACACAACGGTGCACTACCCTTGAAACAAAAGGAAAGTTAATTTTTAAAAGCTAAATACTGATAACTCTTATGCTTCAGCATATTTTAAGGACCAACTTAATGAAGAACTGACTGTGCTTGTTCACACAAAATTACATATTTTCTAAAGCTCCTCAGGACATTTCAGTTAATAAAATGTGAGTCCATTTGGATAAATTTGTTTCTAATATATGGGTGCAATTAATTATGATCTAAAGTAATTTAAAAATGAAAAAGTATAACAGCTATATTCTTTAGATGCCACTATGGCTTAAAACTGGGATATAGTCAGACACTACGGTGATGAATAGCTAACATAAAAATTATATAATAATACTATTGTATGTGTTCCAGGAAAAGCTTTTTTATATATTTCACATTTTAAGGTCAGGAGAGACCAGTGAGATCAGAAGAAAGATCTATTTTCTTCTTGCCTATTAAGAAAACATACATCTTCAGTCAGTAATTTCTGCCTCAAGCCCAGAATTTCTCTGTAGCAATATTGTCCAGAGTTTTTAGACAGACAGCTCAGGTTGTAGAAAAGGATTTTTTTTTTCATTTTCTACTAAAAAAAGTAGGGAGCAATGTAATAGTGTGTGCACTGAAAATCCTAAAAAAGGTGTAGTATGTATATATATGTGCTCTTAGAGGTTAATACTGAGCCTTGAAAATTTGTGTATTGGAAATGGAGGACCAAGTTTTTCTTTGACAAATATTCTAACAAAATTTTCATTGTCTCATGTTCCTCCTTATTGCTTGTCATAACCTCCCAGGGGTAACAACTCATCAATTGAGAAGCACTGAACTATGACATATCTAAAAGAAAGTCATCCATTCTTAAAAAGACTTATTCCTAGGAAAAAATACCCCATCGTTAATAACTGTCATTGTCCGAAATATGTATCTTTTGTCTGAGTTTTTTGAACTCCAGCTTCAAGCTCCTGGATCCACTATGCCTTTCTTTGCTCAAAAACCCTTCTGTCAAAAATGGTGTTGTCATGCAGATACCTGTAGACTATAAGTAACTTCTTAGATTTTTCTTGGGATGTAATAAACAGTTTAAACTTTTTCAGCCCTTTACTGTTACACATATTCCATCCAGGCCATGTAACTTCCTTCTGAATACATTTCAAATTTCTCATCATTGTTGTTAGAGCATGGCACCAGAGAAAGATACACCATTTTCTGTCTTCAGCTAAAGCCCAGACACTGCAAAAGAAAGTATAGGCTGCTGCTTTTTTTTCACATGCAAAACCAACAGCCACTCTGTTTTCACTTCCAGATGTTTAAGTTTCTGAAGAGGTCCTACATTTCTTCCCCATATAGTACATCGAAAGGCGTATCATCTGTGCCAAGACGTTTTAGGCAATCACACAAGAATCTGACTACTGCAAAATTAAATACAAATTTCTCATCTATATCTGTCACTAGCATTAAGTCCAAAAACGGCAACAACTTCTGCTACTGCTCTTGTTCTCTCTCTAGGGCCACATTCTGCCCCTTTGTTTCACAGAGAGAGGGAGTACCTGGCTCTGGAAATAATCCTGTTGAAATAAGATCATGTACAGTACTTTAATAGTCCACATCGGACAAGACAGTAGAATCGTCTCTTTTGTGACTTTGAACAATTCATATAGCTAGCACAAAAATGATGGTGTTCCTTTTTATTTCCATTGATGTTTCCCATTCTCCACACCCTCTCTATTTATATTTTTTTCATTCAACCAGTAGGGAAGACACTTTTATGTGAACCATTTTCATACTGTATGAAGTTT